AGAATATTTTATTTCAGAATACATAGTATATAGACACGTTAATCTTGAATCACTGAATATCCTATACATTGACGATTTGTTAATATATTCGCTCGAACGTGTGAAAATGGCGTGACATGTAACAGATTATCGATTCAATGCGTCATCACCCTTGCGAAACTTATTGATTGTCGCAAAAAAATCAGAATATTTCACGACAAAATATATATTGTAGAAGGGTACCGTACCGTAGATTAAGTAAAATTAAATCAAAGTAAAAAAGTGAATTAAAAATTATAGAGGTATCAAAATTTTGATTCGGAAATTATTTATTATTTTAAATTAAAAACAGATTAATTTTTAATACTAGGACTTTTTTTTTTTCCGGAAATATTTTCAGTATATTATTATTAAATTGTACACGTAAAAGATAGAAAGGAAAGTAAAGAAATCTAAGATTATATAAAGAAACTTGTTTTCTCATTAGAAATTAATATTAGAATAGATTACAAAGTCACTATAATTAAACGAGAATTGGGGTTAGTCGTAAATCTATATATCGTTATCACGTATGTCATTTGCAAAATACGGCGACGATTATTCTCCGTTGAAGTTGGAGTTATTGCAAAAGCGTTATCACGTGTATCATTTGCAAAAGACGACGTCGATTCTCTTCTTCGTTGAAGCTGGAGTTAATTGCAAAAGCTCATTATCGACTTCTCGCAGAGATCTACGAATATTTGCGCAGCGTATCTTACCATATTAATTGAATTAGAATTTTCTGCGAAGCTCAAGTTTTTTTTTTTTTTTTTTTTTTTTTAATTGATTAGTATGTTGTGCTTTTTTTTTTTCCTTAATATTAGTATGAATAGTATGCTGCTTCATTATCAGCTCGTTTATTTTATTTTCCATGCATTTAAATTAAGAACTGCGGGGCCTGATGGCCGAATGGCCCACTCTGGCGTTCGGTACCACAGGTATCGGGTTCGAATCCCGTTCGGATCCCGGTGTTTGTAGTGGTTCGGAATCCACTTTAAACCGTAGGTCCCGGTCTCAATAGGATCGTAGAGCGCTGCGGGGGCATTGTTACTCCGCGTCCGTAGCTTACCATCAAGTTACTCGCGCCCCCTGGGTAATGCAAAGTGAGTAACATAGGTGCAGCCCTTATTGCGGAGATCACGGTCTATTTGCCAGCTGCATTAGAAGAAAAAAAAATTAAGAACTGCTAAATATCTAAGAATTGCTATTGCTTATTTTACTTACAAAAATGTAGTGGGGGGATCCTATTTAGAGTATCTGCGCATGACGCTTTATAGCAGTACTTTAAGAGATATTGCACTTAGAGAGCAGTGAAACGATTGGGGAGGGAGTGGGGTGATAGTAGACCCGGCGTTTAATAAAAATAAATGTGTGGTGAAAATTTAAAAATGATAGGGCAGTTATTCTTAACCCAAGAATAACTGTATCTGCTTTTGCTTTTATTGAAGTACAAAATTTTTTAATTGAATTTCCTTCTTTATATTAAGAGGTACGTGATGTTAGTATGCGCATAAATGTGTTTACAGCAACAACAAAAGAACAGAAATTAATATTAGAAAGGATTACAAAACCACGAGGATTAAACGAGAATTGGCGTCAGTCGTAAATCTATACATCAGCGTTATAACGTGTATCATTTGCAAAACACGACACTACAATTCTCTTCTGAGCTAGTTGGAGTTGCAAAATCTCATTAGCGACTTCTCGCAGAGATCTACGAATATTTCTGCAAGGTATCTTACCAGATGTATTGAATTAGAATTTTCTGCTAAGCTCAAATCTTTTTTTTCTTCTTAACACTGATTAATATGCTGCTTCATTATCAACTCATTTATTTTAAGTATATTGTATTTAAAGATCTACGTACATTTTCTCAGGGTATCCTACCAGATTAAATGAATTAGAACCTTTTGAGAAACTCAAATCGATTTTCTTTTCTTTACCCTGATTAATACATTGCTTCATTATCAACTCATTTATTTTTAAGTATATTATTTTTCATGTTTTTAAATTAAGAATTGTCAAAAAAATTTCTATTGCTTATTTTACCTACAAAAAAAGTAATAAAAAAAATCCTGCACATGATACTGTACAACAGTATTTCCCGTAATAGTAGTTTAAGAAATATTATATATTAGGGGCGGGCAGTGGAACGATTCAAGAGGGGATGGGGTGATAGTAGCCTCTCTTGCATTTTGAAGGCGTTTAATAAAAATAAGTGGGTTGTAAAAATTTAAAGAAGATAAGAAAATTTTGAAACACTATTTGTTGATGATTCAAAGCCGATTAACCAACAATTATGGCTGCAAAAGCAGAGACAGTTATTCTTAATCCAAGAATAATTGGCTGTTTTTAATATCTGCTTTTGGATTTATTGTAATACAAAAGTTTTTAACTGGATTACCTTCTTCATATTTAGAGGAACGTGTCTTTAGAAAAAGACTGCAAATAGAAAATCGCGATGATTTAAGAATACTGATGACAAAAATAAATCCGGAGATTAATTCATTGTTAGCAGTGCGTCAGGATCCATTCTTCTCGTTGGGATAATTTTTAATGTTATTCGAAATTTTTATTTTCTTATTATTTTCTTATTAATTTTCTGTATGTAATGTTAATGTTACTTATTGATGATTTTAATAAATAATTTCAGACTTCGCGGTATCTTAGTTATAACATCTTTATTTTATTTTATGGATTTATATATCTAGTTACATCAAGATGTAACTAGATATATAAATCCATAAAATAACAAAAATTTTATACCGCAGAAATCGAATTTGTCCTCTTAAAGAATGTAATTTCCAGGGGACCCGACTCGTGGCTCAGTGGCAACGAGCGCCGCTGAGGAGAATTAGGGCGGAGATTCAATCCGCTGGTGGCTTTGTCGTAGACACTGTTGCAAAAAGCGAGGAGACCCGATGACGTTTGTGATGTTCAGCATCTGGCCTCATGAGTAGGACTACCTAGTGGGAGTTTCCTGGTTTTCTCCCATACGATACGGAAATGCGGGGTAGTCCTTCTTCAGTGTCCTTCTTCAGCGACACGGAGCCAAGTTAGACTTTTACCTATAGGTGTTCTATCACAACAGAAGATATCCACCCTTCCCTCCTTCCATGAAACCACATGAGCAGCCTGATGGCTAATTGGCTCGCGCTCTGGCCTCTGGTATCACAGACTTCAGGTTCGAATCCATGGCAGGAATCGAATCCATTCAAGCTTCGGTGGTATGGATGTTTGTTAGCGGTTCGAAATCCACGTTAAACCGTAGATCTCGGTCTAATTAGCTCAAAGTGTGCACAAAATGACCGTAGAGCGGTCATTTTGTGCACACTTTGTCGTCATCAAACGAAACCAATGAAATCACACGGGTCCTTAGACTTGATCTAAATATTGCTGTCTACCAAGTGGGATAAAAAAAAAAACAAGATTTCCAGGGGAGTGCTGTGTATTGTTTTTTTTTTTTTTTTTTTTTTTTTTGGAGAAGTGGCGAAAAGACAAATAAGGAAACATTTCTTTAGAACAATGTACTTTTATACTACGGTGTATGCATTTAGAAAACAATTTACATGAAATCAGATTAATTTTAAATATTGGGAAAAATAAATTTTTCTTAAGTGAATTGCGATTTAGGCTGATTTGTTATGCATTATAACTTTCAGGAACATTTCAAAATTCAACTGAGGAAGTAATTTTCCCAAATAAGTAAAAAACAAGCAATTGCGCAACTAACGAGTATTTCATTGCGAAGTTTAATTAAAATAAATGACTTGCAAATGATCTAGCCATTGCACCATTACACAATTCTGTAATTGATCAGTGTTAGGACGGAAATTAACGAACGATCAACTGTTTAAAATACCATCCAATAAAAACTGGTTGTACTATAGTGAATCTAAGCGTTTACTTTCGACTAGCTTCCTCTGATAGAAAAATAAATAAGTAAATAAATAAAAAAAATAGATAACTAAAACAAAATAAAGTAACAACAGACAATTAAAAGTGTAAACGAAATGTTATTGTATTTCTTATCCTGTCAAGGTCAAATGGATAAAGGAGGTTTTTTTTTTTTTCTCTAAAGACCAGTTGCCAATTGTGTGGTTAAACTTGCTATGCTTTTTGTTATAAGTGCTAGTGTTTACTATTCAAATTAAACGAACAATACGTTTGGAAAAGGCACCTGCTTTCCGTTGTGTTTCGCACCTGTTCTACGTGATCTTCAGTTACTGAAAATGTTTGTTGTTTCTATATTAATATTTAAATCTTCAATTACATTTAAGATTAAATACACTTATTTTAAAAATTAATAAATTGTGTTGTTTTTGAACTTTTATTTGTGTTGTTTTTTATTTTTAATTGTTTTAATTTTCAATAATAAATGAAGAAATATTCCATCAGAATGATTTAATTTGTGAATTTCTTTAAACATTTTTTTTTTAATTGGCAGAATTTTGTATCGTCTGATGATTATCCATATGAAACTCAAATGCTATATAGAAAACTTGTCATTCAGCTTTGTTTATAAAAATATAATTTTTTAATGAAAGAATACCATTTGTTCAATAATATTATGGCAAATACAAATAAGCATAAATTTAAAATAAAACCTTTCATTAAATAATGTAAATGTAGTTGTAAAACATTTAATACCCGCGTGATAATTAAGACCTGCCACAGACCACGTGTTTGAAATTCGTCGTGTTGTTGTTTCTTATCCCACTTGGCTGGCCAAGCCCACTAGCCCATATGGACTCATGATTGAAGGGGAAGGAAGCAGCTTCTGTTGTGATGGAGCACCCGTAGGTAGAAGCCTGACTTTTGCTCCGTGACGCTCTTACAGTCATAGAAGACCGGGACCTACGGCTTAAAGTGGATTCCGAACCACTACAAACATCCATGGCACCGCCGGGATTCGAACCCGAAACCTGTGGCACCGAGCGCCAGAGCGCTAGACACTCGGCCATTCAGGTCCCAAATTTGCCAACGGCACGCAGTGTTCCCAGGTGGTCACCCACCCAAGTACTGACCGCGCCCAATGATCTTAACTTCGGTGATCTAACGAGAACCGGTATATTCAGCATGGTACGGCCGTTGGCTGAAATTCGTCGTAGACTCGAGAACTCAGCAAGTTTCCGTCCTTGGAATGAACTACACTTGTGAATCTAATTTAAATCTTTAATTTTCATTTTTTTGTTACTAATCAATTGTATTAATCCAGAGTTCTGTACATATAATAATGTTTGTAAACAAAACGTAAAGTGTTCCCGCGATCCTGAAAGCGGCCCTCTTCTTTTAGCCGTTACATTATGCCGTATAGTTATCTCTGAATGTCATCACTTAGGACATTACCCCTTTCTAGCTGGTGTAATGTGCAGCATGGGCCTTATAGTGCATTCTGGGATCGTATCATTTCGTCGTATACTTCGGTTGAAGAAAAAAAAATTAAATCATCTAGCTTCGAGGGAAAAATTCCATTAAAAAAATTAGTAAATTTTAAAGAAATAATTCTTTTATTTTATTTTCAGTGTGAAGCATTATTTAACTAATACAACTGAAAGTATGAAATTATTATATCATGCTTGCTTACTTGAGATTGCTGCATAAAATCTGACTTCATTCCTTGTTTTGGAAGAAAGAATTGATGACATTGTCAGTTGTTCCAAACAATTTACGAATCAGCTGATGATCAAGTTACGTAATCACTCAGCACTGTAAACATATCCTGTTGTCTTCAATCAAGCCATTAACACCACGACAGCCCAATTGTCATCAATCAAGGTGTCTTCCCTGATCTAAATTAAATACCAATTTCTTTTACCTGTTATCAATCTTAATTGTTTGTTTTCCGCAGATTTTTTATTATTGTGAAGTGTAAAGCTCATTATTATTGTGAAGTGTAAAGCTCATTATTATTGTGAAGTGTAAATAATCCTTACTTTTAATTGCAGAAAATTCTGTTAATTTTTTTAATTTTAAATAAATAAAATCAGCGATTTGAATTAATGAAATGGATCGGAACATGTCTGATTTTCATTCTAAAATGTGTGTTTAAAGCCAAGAATTGCTAACATTTCATCAGTTTTAATTGACATCAATCAAGGTAGAGTAAATCATTACCTTAAGTAAGCGTAAGCATGATGAGTAAGCGTGATTATTATTTAATTCAGGAATTAAATAATAATCACGCTGAGTCATCATGCTTACGCTTACTTATTTGTTCTTCATTTACGTGTCATAGAATAATTGATGAAAATACAAGCTACTTTTTATAACAGAATTCGAAATTTTTCGTTAAATTTTAGAATTTGGTAAAAATATTTACTTAAATGAATGAAATGGACGGAACGTATTTAGCTTTTCGTTATAATTTTGTTTCTTTCTTATCCCACTTGGTAAACAGTAACATCTAGACCAAGTCCAAGAACCCTTGTGGTGTCATGGAAGGGGGGCGGGCAGCTTCTGTTGTGATGGAGCGTCCGTAGGTGGAAGTCTGACTTGTCTCCGTAACGCCGACCACGTTAAACTGTAGATCCTGATCGAATTAGCCCAAAATGTGCAAAAATGACCGTAGAGCGACAAACCAAACCGTGAGGCTGAAGAAGGGCAATGCCTTCTGGGAGGACTTTTCGAGGGAAATATCTCGCATGTGAGGAAAACGAGAAAACTCCCACCAGATAATTGCGGCATGATGGCGCATCGGCAGGCGCTCTGAATTTTGGTACTACAGCCTTCTGGTTAGAATCCTGGCTGTGGTATGAATGTTTCTTACTGGTTCGGAATCCACGTTAAACTGTAGGTATAGGTCTAATTAAACAAAAGTGTGTACAAAATAGCAGTTGAGCCACAAACTAAACTAAACTAAACCAAACCAAACTTACCAGGTAGTACAGCTAACGAGGCAAGATGCTGAACATCCCAAACGCTATCGAGTCTCCTTGTTTTTTGAAACAGTGTCTACTACAAAGCCGCCGCCTTAATGCTCACCAGCGGCGCACGTTCCCACTGAGCCGCGAGTCGGGTTGTTCGAATTTTTAAATATTATTGAAATGGTAGCTACTCGTTACGGTTTAGTTTACATTGAGTTATTTTCATCTTGATAATTTTTAAAATCTGAGGAATGTTCAATATTTTTTCAATTTTTCTTGATAATTTATGTGTGTGCTATTGAAAAATTCCTGAAAAAGTCATTTTTCTAACACGTTTTACTAACCCATTTGTTTTATATAAAGGATGGCCAACCCAAATGATTTTGCGGGCCGCATACAAAATTATATATCCCCCTATTAGATTTAGACCCGCTTTAGACATTTTTTTTTGGAGTGAAAAATTGAAACATAATGAGTTTTTATTTTTGTGTTTACTATTATTCTTACATGTAAAGCATAGATAATATAGTAATAATGATACTCAGCGCACATTGTACAGAAATATATAACACTAAAAATGAAATATAAAAAAAATATATGAATATAAACAAAATAAAAAAAAATGAAATCATTAAAAAATATTTAATTTACGAGCGCGATATTTGTTTCTCCACTCTTTTAGCTTTTTCAAATCGATCACAATTTGGGTATTTGCACATCGTAATGCGGTGTTGCAGATTAGAGTCCGTTATGTTTGAGCGTGTTTTCTCTTTAGTCAATTTCATTTACGAGAAAAAAAAAAAAAAACGATTAGCAGGTGTAAATTGAACCAAAAGCGCTAACAACTTCAACTAAGGGTCTGGTTTGCTCTGATATCAATAATCAACTATGCGTATATAGGGATGGTCAATGCGTTACTAAGGTCACTTAAATCGAAACGTAGAACTTGTTATATTAGATGCTCCAAGATGCGCGCAGATCATGAGTTCGCAGAATATAATTTAGTTATTCTGTGAAAGTCATAACTGTAAGTCATTAATAAAACAGGCAATATCTGTGATATATTCGCAAGAATATTATTTTAAAATAAAAATTAATTTTTTTCTCATAATTTCGGCAGTTAATTTTTGAATACATGGATGCACACATAATGTATTTTTTAAATACATATATATTTTGTAAAAGTGTGATAAATCTTACTGGCGGAAAAATATTCAAGGCCACCCCTGTTTTAGATTTTAGATACAACAAAGCATTAAAATTGTCTTATCGAATGAATTGTAGATAAAATATATTCTTTCCTTCTTGTTTTATTTTATCTATATCTGATAACTGCTGGAAAGTTAGTGTTACAAAATTTTCAATCGACACCTCTTTTCTCTACATAAACATTACGTCACAATAAATACAGAATCTATTCATGGCTCTATTATCAGCATGAAAATTCTATTACAATTTCCATATGATCAAACGAAATTTAGAATTGTTATGACAGCCAAACTCAACAGAAATTGTGTCATGTGTTTGTGTAATGTTAAGGCCAAATAGAATTCTTTATTTATGTTCGAGTGATGACGAAATATTCGTTAGCTTCGAAGATATTTTGCTGAGCTGCCAGTATTCACTGGATTATATCGTTTTATTGGAGTATTGTGTTCAAGATTTAACTTTGCTACCGTGGGATACTTTTTAGGTACGTACTACAATTATATATATATTGCTAAAAATTGTTATTATGTAAACATATTTCGGGATTAAATTAAATTGGAATAGAATTAGAATTCTTTCTAAATATTACAACCATTAAAAAATAACAATAAAAATAAAATCGATATAAAAATAACAGTTTTAAAAACGTTTGCTTTCTTTTTATTTTAATACCGAAAATATTTTATTCCTATTATCAAAATTTGTTAAAATGAAGATTATTTTAATGGTAGGATGCGTTTAGTACATCTTTCAAATCAATAGAGAGTTTTTGCATACCGTACGTTAGTTACCGTAGGACGTCCGTTAGCTTTTTCTCCCTAGCGCGCATGCTCATAGGAAACTGAGCATGCGCGCTAGGGAGAAAAAGCTAACGGACGTCCTACGGTAACTAACGTACCGTATGCAAAAACTCTCTAATATTTTCATAATTATAATTTTGAATTAGTTTGAAAAATAAAACTAAAAAAGTAAGTTAAATTTTTATAAAATTATATAATTTATGTAAACACATTTCGAGATTAAATTAGATTTTAAATTTTTTTCTAAAAATTGTTTCCCTAGAACCATTAAAATAATAACGATAAAAATAAAATCGATATAAAAATAACGATTTTAAAAATCATTTGCTTTCGTGTTAGTTTAATACCGAGAGTATTTTATTCCTGTTATCACAATTTATTAAATGAATATTATATAATTGGCAGAATGCATTTAGTACATCTTTTAACTTTGTATTTTTATAGTTAAATAACATTAATTTTGAATTAATTTGAAAAATGAAACTAAAAATTTAAGTTAAATTTTTATATAATTTATATAAACGCATTTCGGGATTAAATAAGGTTTTAATTTTTTTTTCCAAATATTGTTTCTCTAGAACCAGTGAAAAATAACGATAAAAATAAAATCGATATAAAAATAATGATTTTAAAAATCGTTTGCTTTCGTGTTAGTTTAATGCTGAAAGAATTTTATTCCTATTATCAGAATTTATTAAAAGAAGATTATTTTAATGGCTGAATGCATTTAGTACAACTTTTAATTTTATATTTTTATAATTAAATAACTATAATTTTGAATTTGTTTGAAAAATAAAGCTAAAAATGTAAGTTAAATTTTTATAAAAATACAACAGTATTTTAATTAATAACTTTTAAATATTACCTTAAAATAATGTATTTATATTATAAAAATGTTTTGTTGTTGTATTGATTAAAATTAAAACGAATATATGTTTAAATATTTAATTGCTTTTATTGCTATTCGTATTTAGTTAATGAGAAATAATTGCACGTATACAGAAGTTTATCTAAATTGTGATTATGTTTATTAAAAAATATATTTATGTTTATAGATAAATTAACTTTGTACCTAAAAAAAAGCATGAAATTGATTTTGTAAACTTCAAGTCATGTTTAATAGCTACAATTTTTAAAATTAAAACATGTTTTGTAAAACCAGTCTTATATAAATAGAGTTTTCGGAATGACAGAAAAACATATTTATATTTTTCCTAA